AACTAATATGCGCCTTCGGCGCTAGTTTTAAAAGATTATTACAATGATTTCACGCAAGGATGCATTAAACATGAAATGCAGTTTATATGTAATGATGTAACTGAAATTTACTTGTAAATAATTGCACAATTTTCAGGCCTGTTTTGTTGGTTGAGCTCTACTATTAACAATTTTTTTTCTTGTTGTAGGCGAACCAAGCATTAGGGCGTCATCATGTCTCCTGTATAATGAAGAAGTACAGCTATTTCTATCACTACAGCTTCATTACCCGAATTTTACATTTGTCGCTCGCTATACGAATAATATATACTTCATTTCTTGCTGTGAACTAGAAAAATAATATGGCCAAGAAATTGATATACAATAGGCAGCACATATTTTACCAGCATTTTCTATGTCTTTTTTGAACTTTTATTACAAATGTATGTTAATCAGTATTGTGCATCTTGTGAATTGTGTTGTCTTATCACACTGCCATTTGGGGGGGGGGGGGTATAAATATAGTAGTACATATAGTTTTGACGCATGGCTTTACACCGAACACATTTAAATGTGTCAAGTTTGTAAATATAGCGTACCATTACATTTGATTGCACATGGACTGTTTCTTTTATCATAGTTTACTGTCTACTTTATTCTTAACTTGTATATGTATTCACTGCCATATTTTAATCAATGAGTTTCATTTACTGGTCACTTTAAATTTATTAATCATTAAATCAAGTAGTAAAAAAGTTTTACCATTATATCGATTTTTTGGTAGAATTTCTTGCAATAATTGATATTAAAAAATCCATAACTGTTGACAGAATTGCTGGTGATATTATTCCAGTTGTGCATAGTAATGAGGTCATATGTCATCCCAAGTTGTGCAAATTGTGCCATTATTATTAATGGTTTCAAACCCTATGGTTTTTCAAATTACATCGATTTGTAATTCAGCAGGCCCACAATTTCACAAAAATTTGTCTTTATAGAAAAAAGCTCAACCAAAAAAATTGTTTTATTAGCAACAGCTTTAGGTGTTTGTATGGAATTTATTTTCACAGGTTTTCAACAAGTATATAGGAGAAAAAGTATTTTATTTTCACTGAATCATTAATTCCCAGCGAAAGTAAAGTATTTTACAGTATTTAAGATTAACAATGTTGTAATCATTGTTCTGAATATTAAAATGTTCAGCTTGCAATTTAAGGTACATAGACACTTTGAATAAATAAAAAATTACAGAATTCGTTGATTTGTAATGTCGGCAGAACAATGTTTCCTCATTTTGATATTTATAAATTTCAATTGCAATTAAATCCAACAAGCTAATCAATGAGAGCAGTGTGCAGCGACATCAATTGAAAACTTTGTGAAATATATAAAGATGAAAGAATCAGACTTTTGAATATCAGGCAAGTGTCATCAACATATTCTTTATGGACTGGATACGGCTTTTGCGGCCCGAGGTCGTGCGGCGGAAGCCGTACCCATTACATTACATAAAAAAAGTCTTTAGTTATGTTATTTTTCGCTCGTCTGGCCCAAAAGAAAACCTATTCGATTTCATCCGGGTTTCGATACGGGCCTTTTTACTGGTGCGGATTTATACGGAGGATTCTAAATGACGCAAACGCGTCAACATCTCTCATAAAATAGACCGGTACCGCATGACAGGGATCTATAGACAAACTAATGTCACCAAATATATCCACACATTACGTTTTAATGAAACGGCAAATGAACATAAGTTTATAACAATATTTTAACGGTAATAAATACGAACTCGTTATAAACTTTCTTTCTTATGAATGGACACTACCGTCCAGCTAAGTTGGTCATTTACTGAGCGTCCGACAACGGACGATTTTTTGGAGCTGATGTTGTAGCCACAGGTTAAAAAAATGCAAATATGGGTAAAGACGCGTTAATTTCACAGTTGTTAAAAACCGTAGTCGGTGAACGAGAAACAATTGCTTGACAAGAAGCAGTTTGGTTTACAGTTCCAGATTCTGGCGTAACCAAGAATATCTGAAATGCGCCGACGATCTTCCGTTGAGAGACAGTAT